GTGATCTTCCAGAAATCAGTCTACTGCTTTGTTCATCTGAGCGTCCAGGAGTTTCTGGCTGCAGTCTATATGCTCCACTGCTTTACCAGCAGGAACACAGAGGTGGTGGAGACCTTCCTTGGAGGAGAACACAGAGAAACATCTCTGGAGGACTTCATGAAGAAAGTCATGGAGAAATCCCTAAGGAGTCCAAATGGGCACCTGGACCTGTTTGCTCGCTTCCTCCATGGTCTCTATGTGGAGTCCAACCAGAGCCTCTTAGGAGGCCTGCTGAGTCAGATGGAGAACAGTCCAGGAACCATCCAGGGAGTCATCAACAATCTGAAAAAGATTAACACTGTTGGGGTCTCTCCTGATAGAAGCATCAACATCTTCCTGTGTCTGATGGAGATGAAGGACCTCTCAGTTTATCAGGAGATCCAACAGTTCCTGAAATCAGAGAACAGATCAAAGGAGAAGCTCTCAGAGATTCACTGCTCAGCTCTGGCCTACATTCTGCAGATGTTAGAGGTTCTGGATGAGTTAGACCTAGAGAAGTACTACACATCAAGGAGAGGACGGCATAGACTGGTTCCAGCTGTGAGGAACTGCAGAAAGGCTCGGTGAGTCCAGATGTCTTCATGGTGTGATGCTGATTCAGCTCTATTGCCCTCCTAGTTCTTCTTCATAGTTCTAGATGCTTCTGGACGTTTTTGCTCTTTAACTATTTCCTTCATCCTTTGGACTATTTCAACCATTCAAACATCTAAATATCCATCTCTTTCAGGACAGCTCTGCTGGAGCTTTTGGTGTTTAGAGATTTGGATCATTTTCAAAATATTCCACTTTGGATCAGTTTCCATTTTTCTTTGAAATCAATAGAAAACCTTCAGAATGTAGATAATCTGTTTTCTCTGAAGATCCAATCAGCCATAGACTCATCAGAACCTTAAAACTCCTCTTTACTCATTGGGCTGTTATCCCAGAATTCACCTTTTTAGTCTCTTTGATTGTTTTTATAAAATCACTGTTTGGCTTTGATGGAAACTTGGACCATTCAGATCAATCCCTGCATTCCTGCTGTTGCCATGGAGATGAGTTGTTTGGATCCAGAAGCATCTTTTCTTCCTGCTACAGATTTTCCTCTGAGTTTGTAAATTAGAGCCAAAATGTGTTGATGAGTGTCTGGTCTCAGAAAATGTCATTTCTGTAGGATTCCTAGTTTCTTTCAGATCCTCCCAAAGCTCTGAAAACTCTGCTTCCAGAGTTTGGAACCATTTTCCTCATCAACACTTCATCTGCAGCCTTTGTTGAAGCTGTTAGATTTCCTCCATAAAGATCTGTAGAGACATGAGCTTTAACATTTTAGACATTCCAGCCTCTTCTAATTACTGGGAAAACTTTCACTGCTTTCTGCTTTTGGAAATTCTCAGTCACATACTCACCAACATTGGCTACTGGGTTGCCAGATACTGAGATACTAAGACATATATACAGGGGTGTAACCATCATTTCAAAAGTGAGGAGGACATATTTTTTAGAGTGATTTATCCCTCTCTGGCATCAATTTCATCTTTCCTTAGTGGCTAAAGCTCCACATAATCCCCAATAGCCACAGTTTAACACCAGGGGAGCAAATATGCAGCTTCTTTAAACTATATACTAAAACATTTAAAAATTTTTGCTGCCGAACCTTATTTTAGTGACATAATGAGCCTTGAACTTCTTGAACTAGTAGCCAGAAGAGCCAAACACTGAACATCAGTAATCCTCTATTCCTGTGATCCAATAATTACTCAGCAAACAGCATTAAATGGAGGCGACAGGCTAACATTGTAATAAAAAGTTAGGAAAAACGTATTGCAGAAACACGTTGGATTTCAACATTACATATTGGTTTCACCTGTTCCAGACACTGTTTTGTTCTCAGATTTTGACTTTAAATAAATCAAAATTCATGTTGATATGGGCGTTTCCAGCCCTACCTGCTGGGGTCTTTCCAGCTACATTCATCCTCCCAGTTTAGATGTTCTTCATCCTCCTCCTCATCATCACTTCCTTCCCTCTTCCAGCCCTAAAGGAGAAGTTTGTTAGAAACCATCACAGGTTTGACATCAGTGACCTTGGCCGATTTAATTTATTTCTCCTCTAATCACAGACTTGGTGGCTGTAAGCTCCATAAAGCTGAATGTGAAGTTGTGGCCTCAGCTCTGAAGTCCAACCTTCATCTGACTGAAGTGGAAATAGAGAAGATCTATGGAGATAAATCCTTTGGAGACTCTGGAATGAAGCATCTGTGTGAGATACTGGAGAGTTCAATCTGCAAAGTGAAGAAACTGATGTGAGTTTTCTCTGTTTATTCAAACTAAAATATTCACTGATACTTTAATGCTGATCTTAATTTATCATTTTATTCTAAAATATTTTCTTTAAAAACAGCTGCTGTCCAAATGTCAGAGTACAATTTCTCAGACTTTTTACCTTGTAAATGTATTATTTTCCTGTTCCAGATGTTCTAAATATTGAACTTTATTTTCCAGATGTTCAAACTTTCAAATATTTTGGACTGATGGAGAAAAATGAGTAAAATCAGTCAAATGATGTTAAGTAATGATGGAGATGTTTCAGTTTGATTTGGGAAAGATTCAGATGATGAGACAAGATAATTTATTTCTCATTTCTGATTCACATCTTTCCATCCAGAATGACATTTGGTTCCTCTAGAGTAGAACCAGAACCACAAACATGTTAGAATAACTAGAATCAAATAAGATGATCTAAAAACTAATGTTCAGGAAGAAAAGACGAAGACATGAAATCTTTCTCCTGAAGCTGCTGTTCTGTTGGAGCGGGTCAAAGAGAACCCGTTCTCTTCAATCTGTCAGCTGTCAGAGTCGCTTGGAGACACAAATACTTATCTACTGAACTTAAGCAGCTTTTTATTTCTGACTTTACTTTTTATTTACTTCAGTATGAGGAAAATAACCAATGGTCCTTGCACTAGTGTTTATCATGTGCCGGGGTCACATATTCTGCTGGAATGTTTTAATGGAAATTTTTAATCTGCACCCTGTTGAATTCACCTAAAATCTTTTATACTTTATTCAGATTGATGAACTGCAGATTGTCAGAGACCACCTGGGCTTCTCTGGTCTCAGCTCTGAAGTCTAATCCATCCTATCTGAAAGCACTGGACCTTAGCTTCACCAACCTGGACCCTGGAATGAAGGAGCTCAGTGGGTTCCTCCAGTCTCCCCTCTGCAAACTACAGACATTGAGGTCAGATGTAGAATATTTGATTATTCTAATAACATTACAGTGCATTACATCCAGTACATTACAGTACAGTAATATTACTTTGATCAGGGGCCCTCCTCTAAGTCACTGATTCTCAACCTTTTTGAGTTGTGACCCCCAATGTCCACTGCCCATGACCCCCCATCTGATTAATATACCTATATGCTGTATTTATATCATTAGACAAGCCTTAACTAACTTCAGCTTTTAGTCTCTATATCGTCTTATTTTGAGACACATTGGGACTTTTTGAAAACCATAAAGCTGCACCAAGAGGCTAACTTTCCACCCAGACTGACAATGTTTAAAAGGCAACAAATGGCACAAACTTTATTTTCTTTTCAATGAAGTAAAACAATAACAGTGTGTGCTAAACTTTAACAAATCACACTAGAAAACAGGCAATGTTTCATTTTAAACATCTTTGTTTCTGGGAGCTTAAACCTGAAAAACAACTTCCTGATCCAAAGCAGAGCTGTTTTTCTGTAACTATTTAAAGTGACGGCTGGGCCTGCTTGTTTGAACAGAGCAGCTGCATTCTTGGCTTCATGTTAGAAACGGCCACATGGAGATCACTCTCAGCTCCTAGGAGTCCTACAGCATCAATAACAAATATCCACGTTGGTCTGGAGGGAGCTGCCATTCAATGGGCATGAACCCCAGAGCTGAATACTAAATGGGTGATGTGTCTGCTGCCCTCTTTAGGAAGGAATCTATCTCTATCTCCCCTCTTTAAAGAAAATATACAAAATATACTTGTTAGAAGAAAAATGATGATGGAAAAAATATTGATATTTAGTTTCAGCAATAAACATTTTCACAAACATTTTCAAACTCAGAGAATCTCAGAAACTGATCAAATAGATTTTGTTGAATCTCTGTCAAATAATCAGATCCTAAAAACACATTTGATTATTTTATTCATGATGAGAGATTTCCAAAACATGAGATAAACATTGATTGAGCTGTAACTTCCATTTTTCCTGCTCTGAGTCAGTATTAAGGTTTAATCTCTATCTTTGGTCTGGATTGATCCGTTTCTTTCTGTTCCTGTGATCAAAGACACACCAGGCTCCACCTCTGCTCTGAAATCAGCCCTGTTCTCCTGCTGCAGGGTTATTTGCTTGTTATTGTTTTTTTTTCCTGTGTAATGATGGAGGCAGGCCCACATCCCTGGACTGAGCAGCTGTTCTGCCCGTTAAAGGAAACTGCAAGTCCGTGCCTGCATGGAGCTCCTAGTTCACAGTCACGGGGCCCCCTGATCCTGAACAAGGTCCAGCCCTCTGGAGGCCAATAAACAGACTTTCACCTATCAGCTAGAAAAGAAAAGTTGCTGCTCTGTGCAGATTAGCTGCTAAAAGAGCCACTTCCTGTCAACTTTGTGCTGAAATCATGGCGCTCTGCCTCACATCACCTCCCTGATCAGAGAAAGTGGGAGTTTATTTACAGTCACTTAGAAGAACGGCATGAAGTGAGAAATATGAGGAGGGAAAGAAGATCACCTGATTAAATCTGCATTTCTTCTCTTCAGCTTGGAGCTCCAAATAATAATAGTTAGGAGTTTTTTTTATTTTTAGGGCCTCTATCCTGTAAAATCAACTTGTTAAAGTATTTAACTAAGTGAAGGCCCTGTCCTGCAAACCTTACTGTCATTTTCCACCTTTGGAGCCGTTTGAACCTGTAGTTTCTAGCGACTCCTCTGGGCTTTATCTCCATCTCAGTATGGTAGCAGCTGCATACTGGTGTTATACTATATTCAGTGACCCCGGCCAAAGAGAGAATGTGTCAGTGATGCTGTATGATTGGGCCAGCACAGTGTCAGTGAGGAAAATAACCAATGGTCCTTGGACTAGTGTTTATCACGTGCCGGGTTCACATATTCTGCTGGAATGTTTTAATGGAAAGTTTTAATCTGCATTCTGTTGAATTCAGCTAAACTCTTTGATTCCTTATTCAGATTGTGGGAAAGCAGATTGTCAGAGATCAGCTTGGCTTCTCTGGGCTCAGCTCTGAAGTCTAATCCATCCAATCTGACAGAACTGGACCTGAGCTTCACCAACTTGGACCCTGGAATGAAGGAGCTCAGTGGGTTTCTCCAGTCTCCCCTCTGCAAACTACAGACATTGAGGTCAGATGTAGAATATTTGTTTATTTTAAAGTAGCACTACCACAGGTCATTCATCCCTGCTGCCACCAGACTCTACAATGCAACACTACAACGGCAATAACTTGTGCAATATCTAATATGCAATTACTGTACCCTGTACAATAACCTGCTTCTTTATATTTGATACCCAGTGCAATAGCTTTACAGACAAATACCCATCTATATAAATACCCATGTAAATACCCTGTGCAATAACCCTGTGTAATAATAATGCTTTAAACAAAAAAAGACTTCAGCTGCCATATATCTGGAAACACTGTATATACTGTATAAACCTCCATGCACCTTTTCTTTCCTTCCATCTGGTGTGTGATTTCTCCTTCTCTCTGCTGAAGTCAGCAGGTCTTTATTGGAACAGCAGCATGTTGGCATTAATATTAATGAGAGCACTTTAACTGCTTCTGTTGGACTGTTCTGACCTGCATCCTGTTGGATCAGCTCACATCTTTCTATGCTTTATCCAGATTGAGGCGCTGCGGTTTGTCAGAGATCAGCTGTGCTGCTCTTGTCTCAGCTCTGAAGTCAAACCCCTCACATCTGGAATACCTGGACCTGAGGGACAACAACCTGGAGGAGTCAGATGTTCAGCAGCTGCAGGATCTTATAGAGAGTCCAGACTACAAACTGAAGACTCTGTAAGTAGATGGTTGGAGTGAGTCCAGCTGCTCCACAGCTGCTCTGAA